TCCACAGAAACTCATGTAAAAGAGAGAGTTTTAAATAAAGGGCAAGTGCACATAAAGAAACCATCCCAACCCAGTGCTGCCCAAGCCCACAAGTCCAACATTAACCCATTAACCCATATGTCCAACACCAATCCACAAAGTCCTCCTCCATCTCACAAAACACACACTATGAAGCCAACTGCGGGAGGAAAGCCCAGTCAGTGAACATGTAAGCATCTCAGCGCTGGCAGGGGTCTCCACATAGCTGCTCCAGCACCCAGGGCTGCATCGGGGTAGGTCCATGCAGCTTCTCCTCAGGGATGTCTCCCAGAAAGTGAGCCTTGCCAGCTAAAGCAGGGAACTGACTAAATCAGCTGCATCCTGGTGCAACCATCACAAAGCAAGAGACCCAAGAACTAGAAAGGCGAGGCTCACTGAGCCATTTATCCCTCTGCCCTTCAATTAACCACACATGTGTTTATCGGCCAGGTTGACCCAATCAACTAACCACATCAACACCTGATACGACAAAACAAAACAAAAATTAAAAATAAAACACCAACAGCAAATAGATAAAAGCCCTCAAACAGTTCCAGGTGTGTCCACTGACCTTTGTGACTGTTTTCCAGTCCAGTCTGTTGGGGTGCCATGCCCTGGCCCCAAAGTCCACCTCTGGCATTCCTCGGGGACTTTGTTGCTTTGTTGCTGTACGCCCCTAGTGTTCCCCTGGCATGGTGGGGTCAGATCGGGCCTATCCCCCAGCCCCCGCCACGAGTGCTGTCCCACTCAGCACTATGTGTCCGTGAGGGACGTCGTCGTGTCTCGTGGTGGGGCCGGCCCTGTGATCCTCTCTGGGCCTTGGCCGCTCTCAGCTGGAATATGGTCCTCAGGGCTTGGTGGACCAGGGTGTGTTCCACTCTCTCTCCTTCCCTCTTCATTTACTGCACATGATCAGACACGCCCCTCTTCCTCCGCTGTAGCTTCAGCGCTGTCCTCTGAAGCGCATTCCTCTAGGGTGCAGGGTGAGGGTGCCCACGTAGTTGGGATTGGGGCCGGCCCCACAGGCCTCTCTAGTGGTTCCCTGCTTCATGCCTGTATGTTGGAGTCATGTCTAGCACACCGGGTTGGAGTCTGGTCCCTCTCCCACTCTCCTGTGGAGATATCAACAACACCCTCCCCTTGGGTGGGTTAGTGCTCTGTTCCCCGCTACCATCTATTTTTCGTGTGTTTGTTTTCCCCTCCTTTTAGTTTGCTGCCATTCGTATCCCTGGGTTGGGTTTGGCACCGGCCCTAGACCTGCAGTCTCCCTTTTTGTAAGCCCGTGGCCCATCAGACTTAACCACTGCCTCAGTTTCCCCTTCATAACACTGATCAATGACTCCAGTAACAACCTGAACACCCTGAGAATTTAGGTTCATTTTTCCAAATAAAAGCCTTATGGTTTCTTTAGGTAGCGGCCCCAAATTCCAGTTTTAATCATTTCTGGCAGATCGCCTGGAATAAGCTGAAATTCTTCTTGGCTACTCAACCCTATCCAAAAGCTTCCCCCGGCAGCATGAATGAGTAATAAAGCCAACTAGACTCCGATATATTGCATACTGGGCTCAGTAGCAATAGAGTCCCTCAGGCTCCTTTGGGGGGGGGCTCGGAGCACTCCCTGCTACAGGTCTCCCCACTGGGAAGTGCTCATCGGCAGGATTCCCTCACTGCTGAATCTCCAGGGACATGGATTCACCCAATGAGCTCCCTTCTTGCAATGAGGGCAAGGTCCCGGTTCTCTGGCACCTGGCCCCAGCCACCTCCCTCGTTCCAGCCCCACTCTCTCTTAGCTTCCCAGCTGTTTGGTGCACACTGCTGACATTCCTTTTAAAAATGACAGCCTTTCCCACGGCTAAAGTTGGCCATATCTGGGCTTCAGGGGTCCGCCTTGTATGCATCCGCCCCTACATTCCTGCACATTCTGAGATAATCAAGGAGTAAGCTCTGCTCCCAGAATGGGCGGGTCACAGATTGACAGGATGGATTTGAGTTCTCATAGGACAACATAAGAATGAGATTTTTCACTGCCCCTGAGTCTGCCACATGTTTGCGAACTGCATCCTGTCATCTGGAAACAAAACCTAGATAAGGCTCATCATTCTCTTGCTGCACTGAAGTGTAGTTGGGCCATCTGCCTCCTGGTGCTCTTATGTTCCCCCCAAGCCCGCACACAAACATCGCGTATCTGTGAGAATGCTTGTTTCGGTAACCTGCAATTGCACTGGCGGCTGGGTCACACTTTCGAAGTGTCAGACTTAAACTGCAAACACACAGTTTGAAAAACGACCGGCCTCTGTAAGGGAGATGGAGCCTCCTCCTCCTCCCAGACTCAACTGTGGGTTTTACGGGATTCCATCCTGCCTTCTGAAGCTGTTGCCATCTGAGAGCCAACTCTGGGGCAACTCACCATGGAGCCATGTGGAACATATGGCGGTGGGAACCCCTTTGCCCCTCCGCACCCCGTATCTGCCTTTCTGCTCTCCCGTGAAATCCTTGCCTCCATGTTTCCCTCAGCCTCCCTTCCTGTGATGAGAAGACCGGCACCCTATAGTTTGGGGGAACTCTGATCCCCAAAGCCTTGTTTCTTTTCAGTGGTTCGTTCCATGTCCCTGCCAGCAAAGTGCTGGGCACGAAAATCCGTTGGTCTCTGCAGGAGGCTGGTTCCCCGTGCTCTCTCCCCACTGACCCCAGACTCAGCCATTTCTTGCAGGGCAGCTGAACATGTGACTCCACGGACCTCACCAAATGGCTCCTCCCAGTGTCCACCGCCATGCTGTTGCAGGGCAGCGGAGCACATGGTTCCACCGACGTCGCCACGGGGGTGTCTAGTGCTCCAACCACGTGAGGTGGGGCAGGGACTTCGGGGCTGGCCCCACCCAGTTCGCACGGGTTTTGGCATGGGCTTTCCCAGAGATGCCCCCAATCTGTTTTCTCCTGCTCACAAGCAAGTCGTTTGGTCCTGTTTTGGTGTCTGACCTTGGCTTTGATTTGGTTCTCCTATCAGTTGGTTTTCCCTTTTGCCAAGCTTTGGCAAAAAGGCATTTGGAAGCAAGGCCACTAATTAACTGCTAGCCCTGATGTTTTGAGAGGTTTGAAGCACAACTACCTCCCTACCTTTGCCCTTTGACCATGTACAGTTTCGCTGGGACAGTGTGTGCCCAGCCAAGCATCCCAATTTCCCTAGAGTGGCTGAATGTACACTGAGCCAACTGACAGGTCTCCACCCCTACAAAGGTTGCCTAAAGGCCACTCACAGGCCAGTGGTTGCCTCTGAAGGCAATTAAAAGGCCACTCCAAGCAGTGTGTGCCACTTTCAGAGGTTCAGGTGAATTACTCTTACCAATAGCCCCCTCTGTTGGTCCTGTGAGGTCACCCAAGCTAGTGGCCTACAATGTCTTGCTTGCTCTCTAGAAAACAGTTGGGGCCCAGTTCACTGGCAGAGTCCGGTCCCCGACCCCCTCCCTCAAAGAGGGGCACCCGTTGGGGCACAAGATTCCCGGCACCTTAGGTGTAACGTGTGCTGGGACATCAAGTTATGACCTTGGGCACCAGGCTTTCTAACTCCTCTGTTGTTTGTTTTCTAGATGGTCTTTCAAGGTCTGTTCCCAGAGAGGGTACTTTGTGTACTGTGATCCGTTCTTTGGTCCAGATCTGACCCACAGGCGTTCCGTCAGTCCTGTAGATCACCTGAGCCGGTGACCCACACATCCCTCCCATGCTGTCTAGAAAGCTGTAGGGGACCAGTTTGCATGCAGAGACTTGGTGTCCTGCCCCCGCCGCCCCTCAAACAGAGGCGTCTGTTCAGGCTCGAGTTTCACGGCACCTCCGGTGCTGCGCACACTGGGACTTCAGATTATGACCTGTGTGCACCGGGCTCTTCCTCTTCCTGCTGTTTTTGCTTTCTAGATGGGCAATGGCGGGTCTGTGGCCAAGGGATCAGGGTTGCACTGCATCCTGTCTAACTGGCACAGATTTGGCCCACGATGGTAGAGAAATGAAGCTCGTGTCTTTCTGCAGCACCATCTGGCCTCAGTGCAATCTAGGGGATGGGGAATTCTGGCTGAAGAATGGCACGTTCCTTTCCAGCTAGAACCTCTCTGTAAAGGGATGGAGCAGCGGGCGGAGGTCTTATGTTAAAGCATTTGTCCTCTTGAGAAAGACCTTTGTTTTAAGTGTATCCAGGACCCTCTAATGCGGTGGTGCTCAACCTTCCTAATGCCACTATCCTTTTAACACAGTTCCTAATGTTGGGGTGATCCCCCCCCCACCATAAAATTATTTTTGTTGTTACCTCATAACTGTAATTTTGCTAATGTTATGAATCGGGTGACCTCTCTGCAAGGGTCATTTGACCCCCAAAGGTTGGGGGTCAACCCACAGGTTGAGAACCACTGCTCTAAGGGGCCCTGAAGCTGAAAGCCAGTCCTGGGGAGTTTGGACCCCGAGCAATTGACACACCTTTCACCTTAATTGAACTCAGGCAGATTAAGAGGGCCCTAGGCAGTTATTCAAACCATCCAGAACAGTGCATAGAGACCTTGCACAAATCACCCTACTCTATGACTTGGCTTGGAAGGATGTAATGTTCATTCTGGGACAGACTGTGACAGACTTTGGAAAAGAGCGCGTGCTGAAGGGAGTGAGGAAGTTTGCAGAAAGTTCTCAGGTGACGCATGACAAGTATGGATAGGAGGAACAGCTGTGCCTCCGGCTGACCCGGTCTGGGATTTTAATGATTCCAGTGACAAGTGGGCACAGGAGCATTTCCTGGTGTGTATCAAAAATGGACTAAAGTCAGGCTTTCACGGGAGCTGAAAGCCCAGTCTTTCTCCCGCAGAGCGGCTGGTGGTTTGAAACCCCCGACCACGTGGATCACAATCCAACGTATAACCATATAACCACTACACCCTCAGGGCCCCAATCAGTGTAACCCTTACAATATATCCAGTGTTACCACATTGCCGTTTCCCCACCACACTCACAGTCCCAGGTCCATTTGTGGAACATGGAAGGAGCGAGCGTCTTGCCTACCAGGGTTCAGCGTCCTTCTCCTGGACTCTGCACCCATGCAGCCTGGAAGAAAAGGGAATGAGGAGATGGATCCTGTCCAGAGAGTGGGCCTGCAGGCGGTGGGGAGCCGGCCCCAGACGAAGGTCGTTTCGCAGGCGCGAGATGCTCAGCGTAGGCCCCCTTGCTCCAGCCGCCCAGTCACAAAGTCCAGCTTCTGTCCAGGAGTGGGGTGGAGTTGAGACTGGCAGGGAGGGAACCTGGCCCTGTTGGCTATTGGCACAGAGAGCCCGCCCTGAGAACACGGGGCTTGGGGAGTGGCCGCCACTGCTGCTAAAGCCTGACTCTCCCAGGGCTGCATGCCAGAACTGTAGCCCCCACCATGGGCCTGGAGCTGTACCTGGACCTGCTGTCCCAGCCCTGCCGCGCTGCCTACATCTTCGCCAAGAAGAACCGCATCCCCTTCGAGCTGCGCACTGTGGACCTGCTCAAAGGTGGGGTGACACCGCCTCCTTCCTGAGCATCCCTTCACCCTAACGCCCCACAAATTCCCTTCCGCGAATCCCACCTCCCCAAGCGCCCATCACTTTCCCCCATCTTCCCTCCCCACCACTGAGGCCCTCCCAACCCCCAGCATCTAGGAGGTTACCCCAGCCAGGTGATCCTGCACCTCTCTAGTGCCCCCTGAGCATGGTCACCAATCCACAGATCACTGAGTTGCCTGAGAAGCCAGAGAAGGGCTGCGGGTCACTGCTGGCCCTTGGGGCTTTCTTGAGGATCATCTTTCCGAGGCAGGGTGCCGGGCCTTTCTTGCGAGGCCACACTGTGTAGATTCAAACGGCCCACCCTTTGGGTACCGGCTGCTGAGCACAAATAACCTCTCTGTCTTCCCACCCCCACGTCTGAGAGTCTGCACTGCCCTGGACACTTCAGGGCTCTGGTGGGAGGGAGGGTGGGGAGGGCAGGCAGGCACAGGGGCCCCTGACCTTCCATAACCCCCTCCTAGGCCAGCAAGTCAGCAAGCATTTCTCCAAGCTTAACAGCTTGCGGAAGGTGCCTGTCCTCAAGGATGATGACTTCGTCTTGACTGAAAGGTACTTCCCCCACACACATACACTCTCCTGCCCCTGGCCCTGCTGGCTCCTGCCTCTGCCCCAGCCCCCTCTCCTCTCCAGCCTTGTCTCCTGGAATCAGGCTCTCCCTGGCCTCAGTGAGTGACCCCAGAAGAGAGGATGATGGGATAGACCAGGGGTGGGGGCGCGGGGGTGTCTGTGACAAGTAGGTGGGAAAATAGAATGGAAAATGTCCCTCCTACTTTATAAAGCCCCCTTGGCATCAGCCGAGAGCAGGTGGGACAACTCAAGGCTGCCCAGGGCTCTGTCCTCATCCCATGGAGTGGGCCATGAGGAGCACAGGACGCCCATCCCTCTCCCAGGCCTCTCCTAGGATACAGCCCTCTTGATGGCTTCCCTGAGCACCCACTGTGTGGGTGCTATGTTGGTCTGGGCAGGAGCCCCTCCCCCACTGAGCCTCCTCAGAAGCCTGGGTGCAGAAGGGAGGTCAAGGGCCACTGCTTCACACTCACTATTGGGATATTGAGGTGCTGGTAAGGGCAAAGCAAAAAGTGGACCCCAGATAAGAGGGGTGTCAGGTGAGCCAGTCCCTAACAAATCATCACAGGCTCGGCAGGCGCTTTTGCACAGCGATAATGAGGAAAGATGATAGTAACGTCATAGAGAATAAGAGATAGAAGAGAGAATGAAATAAAGGAGCCAGACATATTTCATGGTAGCATGCTCACCTCAGCCCCGCTTGGTGGTCCACATGGGGATGTGAAATGGGGGAATTGCAGGAGTAAGCAAGAGAGGTTGATTACTAACCAAGGCTTATATATCTCTGGGGGGGCGTACAAGCCCCCTAAGTACAGGTCAAGACATACGTCACAGAAAAGGTTGTGCTATAGGTAATACAGTAATGAGGGGGTGATCTAGGGGAATGCGCACAATAGGAAGGGGAGGGATTGGGGGTACACATGTGACAGATCCTAGATTCATGATGGCTGCCTAACCTTGATTGCCCTTGAGCTGGAGACTTGATTTAGCTTAAGCTTTCAGGGGAAAGCAATCCATTGTGCTCAACAGCAGGGAGAGAGTCCCACCTGTGGTGGGGCCAGACAGTAGTCTGGTGGCTGAATGCCTTCAGGGAGGATATCTCTAAGCATTTGACCTCCCACCATGTGCTGGCAAAGAGACTGTCATGTTCGGCATATCTTTGGGGGAGATAAAACTGGGGAACAGTCTTTTTATATCCCACAGAGGGGCAGGTAGGGTGGGGAGGAGGAAATGGGGGGGGTATCAAGGGCAGAGTCAAGGCCTAGGGTCGGGAGGATGGCTTAGGGCCGGAGCCAGGTCCTCACAGCAGTGTCCTTGCTTCAGCATGACCATCCAGATCTACCTGAGCCAAAAGTACCAGGCAGAGGACCATTGGTACCTCAGGTAAGCATAGATGAGGCAGGCAGGTCAGTAAGTCTCCTCCTAGAGACTGGGGCCACCTACTGTGTCCTTACCTCCTCTGGACCCCTGGCACCACGCACTTGCACCATCATGAGAGTCTCAGGAAAGCCTATAGTCAAACACTTTACGGAACCCTTAAGGTGCCTCTGGGACAACCTTTACCACTCTCATAGCTTTCTAGTAGTCCCGGAATGTCCAGGCGCTCTCTAGTCCGAGATGGATTGTCTAAGCTACACACCTACATGCTCATAGGGCTTCATCCTAGTCCCACGATAGCTTTCCAAACGTGCCTTACCGAAGAGGAGCTACTAAATCCCATACAGGGACAGTGGGAAAGTGCTGGATGTCCCTGCCCAGACTTTAAACCCAGACTTTAATTAGCACCCTTAATCCAGCTACATTACTCCCTGACCCTGGGGAGGACTCTGAACCCCCTATTCCTGCTTTGAGCTACTGTCTACTAATAACCTGCCTTGGCCAGACCGTAAAGGCCAGCCACGTGCTGTAGCAGACTGTCTGTTTCTCTGATGGCAGCAGCTTTGTGACCAAGGGATTGTGCCAGGTCAGTTATGCCACACGGTTTCTTGTCAGAACTGTGTCCATTCTGTAACACCTTTGGTCATGGTAGTCCAGTTAACCTGATAGCTTTGTGATACGCTCAGAAGGGTTGACCATTTTTAGAAAGCCAGCAAACCAACACAAAACCTACTGCGATATGCATAGGACACAATCTCGTTTGCTGCAAGTGAGGAGGACTTGAAGCCCTTGCTGATGAAGATAACGGACTGCAGCCTGCAGTGTGCATTATAACTCAATGTACAAAAACCCCACCCAAATCCTCCCAACGGGACAAGACAAATGGGGAAAACACTGACGTTGTCAAGAATTCTGTCTCGCGTGGATCCACAATCAGTGCTCTTGGGAGCAGCAGTCAAGAGATCAAATGACGCATTGCAGTGGATCAATCTGCTGGCTAAGGACCTCTTTAGAGTCTTGACAAGCAAAGATGTTTCTTTGAGGACTGAGGTGCACCTTAGCGAAGTCATGGTATCTTCTATTGCCTCGTGTGTATGTAAAAGTTGAGTTGAATAAAAAAGAGTGAAGAATTGGTGCATTTGCATTGTGATTCTGGAGGGAAAAAGTAAACGTACCATGGATTTGGAAGTACCGCGGACTGCTAAAAAGACATACAAACCTGCCTTGGAAGAAGTCCAGACGGAATGCTCCGTAGAAACAAGGCGGGGAGCCTTCACCACATGTACTTTGGACATATTGCCAGGAGAGACCAGACCCTGGTGAAGGACCTCATGTTTGGTCATGTGGTAGGCAGGGAAAAGAGGAAGGCCCTGGATGAGATGGGTTGACACGGTGGCTGCAACAACAATGGGCTCAAAGGTAGCAACCATGATAAGGGCGGCTCAGGACCGGTAGTGTTTCCTTGTGTTGTCCTTAGGGATAATGTGACTTGTAATTGACCGGATGGAACCTAAGAACAGCACCAATCTAACTAGGAGGTCGGTTAGCATCAGGATATGAATGGTTTCGGTACCCCCTCTTTCAAATTATAAAATGATACCCTCCCCCCCAACAGAAACTCTGCTGTCTGTCAGCTGGCTTATGCAGGAAGCAATATTGCACCCCAGTCTGTAAATGCCCCCCGCCCAGTGAAATAGAATGATGTTTCTCAGATTGGTCCTCAGTCCGGTTTTCAGTCCTTTGGTGCCTATGCAGGGCGTCTCCCCGTCTTGGGGCTGAGCCCAAACCTTCCCAATGCCATGGGGTCACTTCCAACTCAGAGTGACACAGGATGTCACCTGCGAAGGTGGAGTCCTTGCCCTTGAACGGTGCCGCCTGATCTAGAATCGCTTTGAACCAGACAGAAGGACAGGCACCAGAAGTTCAGGCAGCACACAGAAGAGGACATGGAACGGTGTCAGAAGGATCTTGGCTCCAAGCAGTGAACGTCAGAAAGAGGTTTCCTTGTGTGTCATGGGCTATGCCAAGGCATTCGACTGTGTGGACCATAATACCCTGTGGATGGCCTGGAGAAGAAGGGGAATTCCAGGACACTTCATTGTGCTTGTCTGGAACGTGTACATGGATCAAGAGGCAGTTGTGTGACCCCAACAGTTGTGAGGGGGGCACAGGACCACGCAGTGTTTCGTTGTGTGGTGCATAGCGTCGCTAGGGGGTGGGGCCCACTCCATGGCACCACCGTCTCAGCAGACACTCCCAGAAACAACTAAAGCGATAAGTTGTTGTTGTTGCTGCGGCGGCGGCTGCTGTCCGGTGCCCTGGACTCGGCTCTGACCTTGGTGGAATGCAGCCGGTTCACACTGGTTAGACAGAAACGATTCCTGGATTTGTGTGGACTTCTGCAAACCAGTGGTTAAAATGGCTCTTATCAGGGTACTCCCTGAGGTGGGCCCCCTGTGTAGACATTACAAGTTTATATGCCTTCCTCCTTTTTAACATTCATCCTTGCAGCAGCGTATTCTTTTTTTTTTTTTTTACATCTTTTTTTTTGGGGCTCATACAATTCTTATCGCGATCCATCCATCCATCCATCCATCCGTTGTGTCAAGCACACTTGTACAATTTTGCCATCATCATTCTCAAAACATTTGCTTTCTTCTTGTGCCCTTAATATCAGCTTCTCATTTTCCCCCTTCCCTCCCCAGGGCCCCTCCCTTGTGAACCCTTCATAATTTATTATTATTTTGTCATATTTTACACCGTCCTAGGTCTCCCTTCACCCACTTTTCTGTTGTCCATCCCCAGGGAGGAGGTGATATGTAGATGATTGTAATCGGTTCCCCCTCTCTACCTCACACTCGCTCCACCCTCCAGGCATCGCCACTCTCACCACTGGTCCTGAAGGGGTCATCTGTCCTAGATTCCCTGTGTTTCCAGTTCCTATCGGTACCAGTGTACATCCTCTGGTCTAGGCAGATTTGTAAGGTAGGATTGGGATCATGATAGTGGGGGGAGGAAGCATTAAAGAATTAGAGGAAAGTTATGTTTCATCGTTGCTACACTGCATCCTGACTGGCTCATCTCCTCCCCATGACCCTTCAGTAAGGGGGTGTCCATTTGCCTACAGATGGGCTTTGGGTCACCACTCTGCACTCCCCCTCATTTACAATGATATGATTTTTTTGTTCCTTGACGCCTGATACCTGATCCCTTCAACACCTCGTGATCACACAGGCTGGTGTGCTTCTTCCATGAGGGCTTTGTTGCTTCTAAGCTAGATGGCTGCTTGTTTATCTTCGAGCCTTTAAGACTCCTGACGCTATATCTTTTGATAGCCTGGGCAGCAGTGTATTCTAAGCACCTGCAGTAATGTTTATTCCATCCATATGTCCAATAACTTAGACAAAACTGTGTTTATAATATTTCCTTATTCATTTCATACAACCCATTAGACTTTTGATGAGATGCCACATGTTCATCCCCTGGGTTTGTTACTTCAGTAAACAAACATTCAACCTAAAGAGAAAAAGTGCCAAGCCACCACACGGTCATCCTTTCAGCTTTGTGATGCCCCAAAGCCCCCATGGGATACTACGAATGGATTACGCTGTCACTGAGAGTGATCCAAGAGCCGAAATATCCTTCGAACAACTGCTGTAAGTTCAGCAGGAATGGAAAGGTCGTTTGCAAGGATGAACAGTAGGCAGCGAACCGGCTGTTAAATTATTCGAACCTTCTCTCTGGTTCTAGCCATAGGGACCCTGTGACGACACCCACCACCGGCCCTGCACCAGCCTCCCAGTGTTCCTGTGCTCGAGCCCATGTGGCAGCCGCGGCTAGCCCACACCCTTCAGGCCTTCCTCCCTTCCACCTCCTTTACTTACCGAGCATGCCACCTGCTCCAGGGACTGGCCTTTCCTGGCAGCGTGTCCAAAGTACGAGAGACTGAGTCTTGCCGCCCTTCCCCGTCAGGATCATGAGGCCGGACTTCTTCCAGGACAGACCTGGTTGGCCTTTCGGCGGTCCATGGCACTTCCAATCGTCATCACCGGCACCACAAACCAAATGCACCAAATCGCTTTGGGTGATGATGTCCACCAGGTTTTCCTGCTTACTCACTACAGATGACACACAGGTGGGCAGGGAGCGGCGGTTCACTTCGACAACACGCGCAAACTCACTGCCGTCAGTCAATTCAGACTCACGCTGACCCTGCTGGGCAGAGTGTAACTGCCCCCGTGTGTGTCTGATTCTGTAACTCTTTCCCCGGGTAGAAAGCCTCATCTTTCTTCTGAGAAGCAGCTGGTGGTTTTGAACTGATGACCTTGCATTTAGCAGCCCAGTGGGGTGTGGGGAGAGGAGGGTCCCCAACAAATCATCACAGGTCC